AGGGAAGTTTAAGTTGAAGTCATCCCGTTTATCAGAAAGTTTTGTCGTTATGTTACCAATAACGTCTTAGGTTACCATTAACGTCTTTTTCTAGTGAAATATCCAAATATGAAACAGTTGTGTCAGACTCTGTGGGTTTTTTTTATTTCGTGTTCCTTGGAATATATCGAATCGACATATGAAAGGAAATAACGATTATTAATTGATAAAACGTCGTCGATATATCTAAATGTAGAGTTGAAAGTCACAGCAAGCTTTTTCTTCTTCTCTTGGATAAGATTTTGAATAAATTCTGCTTCATATGAATACAACAATAGCTCTAGATCTGCTAATAACGAGGCACAATTTGTACCCATAGAAATTCAAGCAGATTGTTGGAGGACCTGATCTCCAAAAACTACATAGACATTGTCAATCAGAAACTTAAGCATCTTTTTAAGGTCAATTTCAGAGTATTCTTCTGTACAATCAGAATGTTTTTAACAAAATATTTTTGCAAATGACCAATTTTAAAAAGCAGCTATCTACGATGTCAAAAAGCCTGGACTTTAATTTATCGTGGGGAATGGTTATGTAAAGTGTTGAAAAGTCTTGCGTTTTGATGTAATTGATTTTTGTTAAATTTTGTGATTTCAAATTTTCCAACAGTTCCTTGGAGTTTTAAGTATCCACATCTGATTTACACTACCTCTCGAATATATAGAGGATATTCAATGTTTTGTAGATGAATATGGAATTTATTTCACGAGTGGGACAGGATTTTTTGATATTTTCACGACTGCGAAGCACGAGTGAAAATATCAAAAAATCCTGTCTCACGAGTGAAATAAATTCCATATTCATCTACAAAACATTGAATTTTCTGTTTATTACCTTTTCTTTGATTTTCCATTTGACTCTGTCTTTTCGTAACAGGGTGTCATAGGCTGTGACGTCATAGTTGAGCGGTTGAGACGTCATATGATAGCTATAAGCGACTGCGAGATTGTAAAACGGATTTTTAACAACATATTTGGAGAAACTTTGGCAGTTTTAGGATTATCAAGACGGTTTAGTTACAATCTCTATCTTATGACAGGCCAGAAATTATCTTTTTACCTACTTTGATATCCTTTCACATTGTGAGAGAATATCACTTTGGTATCCTTTCACACTGTGAGAGAATATCACTTTTAATCAATAAATAAATCACAGTATTTCACTATTGAAAATGTAATAAAATGTTTTACAGTACTCCTGAAGTTTCTCCTTCACTGCTGTAAATATTTTAGTGAGGAGTAAAGAAAGAGGTTTAGTAGAACATTTACTAGAACCCGCTATTTATCTATGTTTATAAGGATTTTTATGGTGTTTTGGAATCCAGTATAGGTATGGTAATTCAATTTTATTTTGATTATTGGGAATATTAAAAATATTTAAAAACATATGGTTTTGAACATTTCTTTTTAGAAAGGGAGCTATGGATATAAGATGGATGACCATTTGCAGAATTAAGACCTAGTTCCTCTAAAATACAATTCAAATAATGGGCCTTACAAACAGAGACAATGTTGTAACCTGCTATGTTAGCTGTGACCAGCACCTACTGATCGTGTAATCTATCTAATTTTTGTTTCACTTCTGCATTCTGGAAGACAGAAGGATAGATGGTTTTTCATAATGTCCCTCAATCGCTTAATGTGAGATTTCAATATCTATCTGATACTTTAAATTCATTCTGACAAATTGTCAATGTCTCCTTTTTCGTATTTGGCCCGTCGTCTGGCGTAATCTTCCACAGAATTCATAATATTTATGAAACAATGACGCTAGTTGAAAGATCGTGGTACCCTAAATTTTGGCCCTTTTAGAATAAGTGATTGAAGGTCCTCATTATTAATTACTATATTATCGTCAAAAGTTATAACGTGTCCAGTAGGACAATACTTATGAACACATAGGAGGATTATGTATCAGATGTTCAATATCTAGGCATCGTAGAGTGTATTTGGGGGGTGTTGTTATTATATTATCTTTTCTTGATATCATCTCCACAGCAATTTTTAAGATACTGATTTTTATGGTGGAAATAGTGATGTCATTAATATATATTTAAGAGTAAGGCGATTTAACACATACCTTGCTTCGGACAAATTTAAGCAGTAAACTTTCGTTAAACCCGAATCTTCTCGTAATTTACTTGTTTCTGTCTTAAAGTTGAAGATTTCATTTTTTTAATGATGCCGATTTTTTAAATCATGTTGTGATAAAAATACCACGAGAATGGAAAGAAAGATCAAATGGGTTTATTCATTTAAGTAGATACCTGGTAGAATACGAAAGTAACATTGTTTTCAAAACTGAATTGTTGAGTTTTCTTATAAATGTGTTTTATTCCTTCTTCTATCCAGAATGGACACGGCTACTCTTCTCGGAGTGATTATGGCCATGATGAACGTGGACAGTCAGATCTTACATAACGAAAATGGACCGGTGGGCAACTATCCATTGAGTAATACAGATGAACTAGAGCATCTGTTTAACTCAGCAACCAGGAAAGTGATAACATCTCACTTTAACATGATGGAATCTCAGATGCTTAAATATCAGATTGAACTGGATAATTTTAAGAGAGAAATTACCGAGCAAATGAAGAATATGCAGTATACTGTTCCTGGCGGAGCTGAAAAACTAGGTAGGGTTTTGTTCCATGGGTATGAATCCCATATTTAGCTAACGAAATGTTTTAAAATTACATTTGCAAGATTAATGATTATGATTTTTTTTAAAAAGTATTGATTGAATAAGATCTGTCATTTGGACAAAGCTACGAAAATCCTGTTCTTTTAGACTCAGTTATTTTCATTCTTAAGAAGTGTTTAATTATATCTTATTAACGTACGAGAAATGATCGTTTTTCAGTTGAATATTAATATAGCTCAGTCGGTAGAGTATTTGCTCCATAATCGGAAGGTCGTGGGTTCAGACCCTGGCTGCGACAGACCTAAGTCGATAAAAAATAGGAAGTAACTGTTTCTTCGACAAGCGCTAGGAACTTTGAAGTGAAGGTTTCGAATTTTTTGTATGAGACTCGAGGCCCCGTGTCACGGTAGACGTTGGTACGATAAAGAACCCTCACTCCTCACTGGCTTTGAATAAAGGTCTAAATTTGAAGCCTTTCACCGGTATATGGTGACGCCTCTATATGAGTGAATATTCTCGAAGGGAATGTAAAACAACCTACAGTCAGTCAATCAATCAATCCATAAAATATTTTATTATATTATTGATTATTGTTTTAAAAATTGGGATTTCTAATGCATTTCTAATTTACTCTTTTTAATTAAAAAAAAAAATTTTAAAGCGTAAAATATGATGGAATCAACAAGCATTTCCAACCTTTTCTTCATGTTTGTATTGAGCATAAATTAAAATTTTGAACTGCCTGTATGTTACTTTATTGTGTGTGTGTGTGTGTGAGTTTTTTTTTTTTTTTTTTTTTTTTTTTAAATAATAAAGCAATTTGAGAATTCATATCTCCGTAATTCATTAAAATTCATATATGTATATCATATTTTCTATATACCCTGTATGGGTTAAAAAAGCTTTCTGATTTTTTCAAAATAAAATTCTAGAATATTTATGGAGCATAATATTAATGAACCCCCTAACGAGAAATTTGAATTTAGATTTTAAAAAAAAATATATCTTTAATCCTAGTGCTATGCAATGCTTTCCTACCTCAAAGGTTTACGACTTGTAAATGGAAGTTCGTCAGGAGAAGGAAGGGTTGAGGTTTACAAGGACGGAGTCTGGAGAATGGTGTGTGGTGATAGCTGGGATTCTGATGAAGCCAATGTGGTCTGTAAACAACTATTTGGATTAGATAGGTGAATGTTTTCATAATTATATATAATAGATCAATACTTATTTATTTATTCATTTATTTATTCATTTATTAGTGCGTGTCTAAGAGACCTTGTTAAAGATTTTTAAAAAAATTACTGTTTCTATTGTTATATATTCAAGGTAATTAGGGTTATGAGCAACGCACAAATTATTTTATACCTTAATATTTTCAAGGCAAGGTATGGCAGTTTCAACTGCAGTATTTGGAAAAGGAACCAGAACTATACATTTAGATTTACAGTGCACTGGTGCTGAAACTGATGTTCTTGACTGTCCACATTCAACCACAACCAACTGTAGTCATTCAAAAGATGCCGGAGTTGTTTGTTTTCTTCCAAATCGTACGTGAATGTATTTTATAAATATAATGACCTTTAACTCTATTTTCAAACTTAAGGATTTCATCTTGATGTTTTGGATTTTACATTGTACGACAGGCCATGTCAGGTTATCGAATGGAAATTCTACAAACGAAGGGTTAATTGAGGTGTTTATCAATGGGAAGTGGGGTGCTGTCTGTGATCAAGTGTTGGATAACGATGATGCCAAAGTTGCTTGTCGCTCCTTAGGATATTCTGGGTAATATCTTATCATGTCTCACAATTTGAAAGATATTCATTGTTATAGCTATTTTGAAAATGCAAAAGAATTTTTAATTTATATCCTGACATTGCAAAAAGAGATATCATGTCAATTTATGATATTTCATTTTGCTACACTCAAATTTCCGCATATTTTCAAAATTTGGATATGATTTTTATTCTGTATTTTATTATTTACAAACCAACTATCAAGGTACATCGAACATATTGCATGCTCCGTGAAAATTTTAATTCTTATGTATTGATTAAAAGGGGCATTGCGGTTACTTCGACGGTTTTTGGATCAGGCAATGGATACATTTGGTTGGACGGAATTAATTGCAATGGAAATGAGGGTTCACTGTTAGAGTGCGCAGACTCAGTTACTGGATCCAACAGGTGCAGTTCTGGAAGAATCGTTGGAGTTGTATGTTATCCAACGAGAAATGGTGGGTAAAGACAATTAAGTTAATTTTTTTTCAGGATATACCAAACTTTAATATCCGGTGTTTTTTTTAAATTCAATTTCAGATTCAATTAGAATTGTAAATGGTAGCTCTGTTGAAGAGGGTCGAGTTGAAGTGTTGATTAATGGCCAGTGGGGAAGTGTATGTGATAATGGATGGAGTAAAAGTGATGCTGATGTTACTTGTAAAAGTCTTGGATATGCAGGGTAAATTTTTATTTTTTTTTTTTATATTCATCTTCTTTCGTTCTTTATATTTTTTTTTTTCAGAATTATTTGGTACTAACTTTTCTTGCTTCACAGAGGTCTACCCGTTTCATCCTCTGTCTTCGGAGAAGGCAGTGGCCAGGTATGGTTAGACAGAGTAAATTGCTATGGAAACAAGAAGTTCCTTTTAGAGTGCTCACAATCAGTGATTGGATCCAGCACTTGTCGTTTTGGTAATACAGCTGGAGTGGTTTGTTACCACACAAGAAATGGTGAGTTAAGAGAACGGTTGTTATTTCAGGATTTTAAAGATTGATATTTAATTGCTTTATGCTTTTTTTTTTAAATTTGTATATTTATAGATTCAGTTAGAATAGTAAATGGAAGCACTGTTCATGAGGGTCGAGTAGAGGTTCTGATAAATGGTCAATGGAGAAGTATATGCGACAGAGGATGGGGCAAAAGTGATGCTCAAGTGACTTGCAGAAGTCTTGGATATTCAAGGTCTCCTGGTGGACTTATTTCGTAATCAAAACTGGTGTTAATAAAATATTTGATAAAGTAATTTAGAAAATCCATTAAATTTATTAATCTTAAAATTTAAACTTAAAACTTTCAATTTATTAAAAGTTTTGTAAATTTACTATGGTATATCATACATCAAGATTTTTAGTTAGATTTTTGACCAAATTTTTCTCGTTACATTTGATTTAAGTTCTCAATTTGATCATATTTCAGAGGTATTCCTGCCGCGTCTTCTGCGTTTGGAGAGAGTCCTGCCCAGATATGGATGTTTAACAGCATTTACTGCAGAGGATATGAACAGTCTCTACTAGGCTGCACAAAATCAGTAATTGGGTCTAGCGTGTGTACTTCTGGTAGAAATGCTGGAGTCGTTTGTTATCAAACTAGAAATGGTGGGTTATCCCGGGAATTAGAGCAAACGTACTTAGTTTAGCTAAACTCATATTTTAACATCTTTTGCGCCACCTCCTGTGCCCTTATCAATATTCTTTGAAAAAAGAAACTACAAGCTTGGCTCAAAGGCGATAATTGATTATTAGTAAATGAGGACGATTGTTCTAAAGTTTGAGTTTAAATAAATTTTTACTCTAGTTCATTAAGATTTACAGAATCTAGTCAAATTTTTGTAAATCTTCATAATGAAATAATCGATAATAATACGTATTTTTACATTCTTTGTTTTTTTAGATTCAGTAAGAATTGTAAATGGTAGTTCTGAGTACGAAGGTCGAGTTGAAGTTTTGATAAATGAACAGTGGAGGAGTATTTGTGATAAAGGGTGGGATAAAAATGATGCTGATGTGACTTGTAAAAGTATTGGATATTCAGGGTAATTTCTCTTAATATTCATAACAATTAGCCTATCATGAAAAAAAGTTTGTTTTTTTAACCTTAAACCAGAAACTGCATAATATCCTTTATATACAATTCATCATTGAGTCAAATGCTGACTGACGTTTTTCATACTAATTGTTAGGCCATTATTTACACACTGAATTGTCGACGGATTTTTCGTTTTTTTCCCGATCATGACAAGGAGCACAAGGCGGGTGTGACCGGTCGGCAGGGGATGCTCACTCCTCCATGGCACCTGATCCCACCTCTGATGTTTTGGAGGTCCGTGTTTGCTCTGCTCCTATTTTGTATTGTTTAATGGACTTTTGAGCTTGAATACTGTTTGTTATCTCCATATATTTTATCCTTGGTATAGAACATTTCAGTAGTCTATTTTTGCATTATATTTACTTGCATTATTTGGTCAGTATGAAAAATGTCCTTGTTTTCCTCTTTTAAATATCCTTGAGATTCGTGACGTTTCATGTTTCCTTGAACATCTATCTATTGTTGTATCGTTTGTTTGTCTGATTACATGTTATGTTAATGTAAAAATATGGTAGAGTCGGCTTCCTCCATCATAATCACTTCCACAACGACTCTTGTTTTGCAGAGGTCTCCCTGTTTCTTCAACTGTTTTTGGAGAGGGACCTGAAACAACATGGATGTTGTCCAGTGGAAATTGTCATGGAGGAGAACCTTCATTATTTGGATGTATTCAGTCAGTAATTGGATTTAACAGTTGCAGTAATGGTGGACACGCTGGAGTGGTTTGTTACAACAGTGGAAATGGTAAATCAAAAAAGTATTCATTTATATTTAATGCATGATAATACATTGCAAACATCATCTTTCCGTTATAATTTAATTCTTTTAGATTCAGTCAGACTAGTTAATGGTAGCTCTGCAGATGAAGGCCGGGTCGAAGTTATAATAAATGGTGAATGGCAAAATGTTTGTGACAGAGGATGGGACAAAGACGCTGCTGATGTGACTTGTAAAAGTTTCGGATATTCGGGGTAATGTCTCCAACAAAATAATAGCTAAAATGGCAGGTTGTTTCCAACGCCATGTTCAGAATAGAATTTTTACCAATGTTTTCTCTATTTTAGATCAATTTAGGATATAAATTTATATGTGCTAAAATTACATTTACCTTTTCATTTCAATGTAATAATACTTCAAATTCGACGTTTGAATTGGTACTTAAAAATGCTAAATGGCTTTGACTATGCAATGACTAAATTGTTTTTACTTTGATTAATGAACGGATAATGTCAAATATCCATTAAGACAAACTAAATCGAAAAAAAAAATTAATGAAGTTTTGCTATTTTTTTCCTGAACATGACGCAATCTGTTAAAAAAGTTTACAGTAGCTAAAATAGAGAATACATGTTTATAAAATTTGTTACAATAAGCAACCACCATTATACAATATACATGCAAATATTGATTGAATTTAATTTTTGTTTGTTTGTTTGTGTTTTTTTTTTTTTTTTTTTTTTTTTTTGTTTGTTTTTTGCAGAGGACTCCCGGTCTTATCTTCTTTGTTTGGGGAAGGCGGTGGTGAAATATGGTTGAGTGGCATAAATTGTAACGGTAGGGAAGATTCCTTGCTGAAGTGTCGATATGCTACAATTGGATCAAGCAGCTGTAGTGGTGGGGCTGCCGGAGTTGTTTGTTACCATACAGAAAATGGTAAGTATATTATATATATATATATATATATATATATATATATATATATATATATATATATATATATATATATATATATATATATATATATATATATATATATTTCACCGTCTTATGAGATAAATATTCTTGTAAAGGACTTAAGAAAACATTCAGTCTAGTTTACCCCTGTAATACCTGTTTCTAGGGCTTTGTCCAGTAGTTTTTGCTTCAAAAATGTTTTTGTCAATAATCATTTACTTATTAATTACAGAATTAGTAAGGATGGTGAGTGGTATCTCTGTACAGGAAGGGCGAGTGGAGATTTTCATAAATGGACAATGGCGAAGTGTGTGCAACAATCTGTGGGACACAAATGATGCTAATGTGACCTGTAGAGGTCTGGGGTATTCAGGGTAATCCCACGTTATATTTAATGCTAAATTTTTTATCAACTAAATTCTATAGAAAATATTAATCAAGCGCAAAATGCGATTAAAACAATACAAATTTAAAGCAGAACAAACACGGATCTTTAAAACACATCAGAGGTGGGGTTAGGTGAAGTTAGCATCCCCTGTTGACCGGTCATGCGCGCATTTCTAATGATACAATATAGTTACCGACAATGTCATTGTATCAACCATACAATTTGCGAAAGGTTGACTTTAAACAACACTGTTGATATTCTTGTTTAATCAACATTTCTGCCAACAGCTTGCCTCGTTTTGGGAATTGTTCGTACAAGGACGTAGAGCATATTCTTGCGTATCGAATCAACTGGGAGATATAGATGCAGGTGATATTGGTATATCGCTACATGAATGAAAGAAGCTGACGATAGGAAAATTGGAGTCATCAAGTTTATCATTAAGTTTTGTTGTTGGGTTGCCATTAACGTCTTTTACTAGTAAAATAACCAAATATGAAACAGATGTGCCAGAATCTGCGTTATGTCTTATTTCGAGTTCAAAGGGATATATCGAATTAATGTAGGAATTAAAATGAATATTATTAATTGAAAATAAAAACGTCGTCGATATATTAAAATTTTAAAGTCCACAGCCAGAGAATTCTTCTTTTTATGTAGAAGTTTTGAATAGTTTCGAAATGTTTTTCGATTCATTTAATACAAAAAATAAGTCTGCTAATAACGGGGCACAATTAGTACTCATAGGGGAAGTCCATAAGAGTTGTTTCTATGTTGTTCAGTAAAACTAATTTCTCAACATAACAAAATAAACTGATGATTTCATTTTGTTGCTATATAAGTCTTACGCATGATTAAGAAATAAGATGGGAATCTACATATATTTTCTCTCTCTGATTGGTTTAATAAATCCCTAACTGTGATTACTCTAAAAAATTTATGGTATCTTTTGGTAGAGGAATCCCGGCTTTATCAACTTCATCCTCTGTGTTTGGGGAGACAAAAAGCCAAATGGTTGTGAGCAACATTAACTGTAATGGAAATGAAGATTCTTTGATCGAATGTGTACGATCCGTAAGTGGATCCACCGTCTGTAACAATAGAAGAAACGCAGGAGTCGTTTGTTACCACAGAGCAAATGGTAAGAGAGAGAGAGGGGGGGTGAGAGAGAAAATAAGAGATTACATTACTAAATCACTGACTTCAAAACTCTTTTTTAGACATAATCCGAATAGAAAACGAAACTTCTACAACGAATAACAGCGTAGTCGATGCAGAGGTGCTTATCAAAGGTATTTGGATTGGATTTTGTAAAGACAGGTGGGATCATATGGAAGCAAATGTTATCTGCAGAAGTCTTGGCTATTCTGGGTAATCTCTCTCTCTCTCTCTCTCTCTCTCTCTCTCTCTCTCTCTCTCTCTCTCTCTCTATATATATATATATATATATATATATATATATATATATATATATATATATATATATAATATATATATATATATATTCGTTCCAAAGGAACTTCCATAATCCTTTTATGTATGGAGCATATGAAAAGAAACGAGAGCGATCAACATTTGTCTAGTGCCTTTCTCACTATTCACTTTTTTTAATTCCTCATTTACATTGTTCATTGTATACTATATATATATATATATATATATATATATATATATATATATATATATATATATATATATATATATATATGCATACAGAGATATTGTTACAGTAGTAGTTTATTTTAGGAATATAGTGTAAGATAGAATGGATTTACGAATATTTTTTTTTTAAATAAAATACGATTTGTCTCATTAACGTGCTTCAATTGATAACTTATTTTTAAAAAATGCATTTTCCATAATATATTTTATTAAAGTCCGTTTCCTTGAAAAATCTATTTATAATACTAGTCTTTTATTGAGTGTGTAAATTATATTCCCTACGATATGAATGGCTATTGTACTGCTATTGTTCGCCTGATTTTTGCAGTAAAATTTGTTTCCATTTCCTACAAGGTTCAACATGTAACTTAGTTCGAAAATGGCCCAAAATAAATATTTAAGCATAGATCCAGAAATAACAACACCGTCTGAAAGCTCTTTCATGTTTTTTTAATAAACACGAATCTCACGATTCTCACCAGAGTTACGTTATACTTTGGCATTCGATGTCATTGTTCATTAGTTATTGAGCTACATTAATTATACCTTGGTCTTATTATAATGTCATTCTTCATTAATTATTGAGTAACGTTATACCTTGGAGTAATTACAAAATCTCTGTTTATTAGTTATCAAGGTGGGTTTTACCTTGGTGTTATTACAATGTCATTGTTTATTAGTTACGTTATACTTTGCCGTTATTTCGATGTCATTATTCATTAGTTATTGAGTCACACGAAACTTTGGCGATATTTCGATGTCATTATTCGTTAGTTATTGAGTCACTTTATACTATGGTGTTATTTCGATGTCATTGTTACTTTGTAATTGAGTCACGTTATACCTTGGTGTTACTAGTATTTCAATGTCATTGCTAATGATCTATTTGTGGTTGTGTTGGAAAATGCACATGGGGAAATGAGACGTTATTTCTTCATTAGTTCCGTAAAATAATTCTTATATGATAACATGTATAAAACCATGAGTAAAATATTTTAAAAACTTGCTTTAAACTAAGTCTTAATTGTTGTTATTATGTTTCAATTTCATAATCATTTCTCATCAGATGATTGATAATTCAAGATTATATAAAAAGAGTTTACAATAGGTACGCCCCAATCTGGGAGTGTGTAAGATATGAAGGCAAATCGTTATGATTTTTCGGATAATAATGAAGTGGTAAAGCAACTACAGCTGCGAATGACACAAGGAAATTTTTCTCTACATTTTGCACCGCGCCGTGCAGCATACCCTACTCTGCAGAAATAATGGGCATTATCACGTGACAAAGATCCAGGGTATCAGCACGTGGTTAATCTTGAGAATTGAATATAAATAAGCCTACATCTTCATTTTAATGACAATAAGTTCTTATCATTTATCATTGACTTTATTACATCGATGAATCAATTTGATGAGCAAATGCACTAAATTTTCTTTTTATTTTGCTTTTTAAATTATTTATTTATTTATTTATCTTTGAAGACTGTCTGAAATAAAATGATCACTCTTTCAGCTTTGAATATCTTGTGCTTTTCTTGCATGGATGCTTTTAAAATTGTAAAAGTACTTTTTGAAATGCTAAATTTTGTTTGCAGCCGATTTGATGCTTTGCATCAATTTTACTTGGTAGTTATTGAGACACTTTGGTGTTACTTCGATGTCATTATTCTTAAGTTATTGATTTACGTTAAACTTTGGTGTTATATCGATGTCATTATTCTCTAGTCATTGGGCCATGTTATACTTAATAAATAGTGAAAAATGACATAGAAATGAGATGTAAGAATTTTATAAAAAGGACAATTCTTATATTGTAGCTATGCTAGTTTGGTAAACAGTAGACAAGATGGGAATACATTTGGCGAACTGTATGTAAAAGGTTTTAAGTGTACTGGAGCGGAAAGAACATTAGCTGGATGTAAATTTGGATCCATCGGTCTAGGAGACTGTAGTAAGACTGGAGCTATAGAAGTGGAATGTGATACTGATGTGAGAAGTAAGTATAAAACAATATATGGACTTATCCACATATTCCTCTATATAGGCTCTTAATAGGAAAATAATTTAAGAAGTAAGTGCAAAAAGAAAATAAGTTTTGTCTTGTAAATGGTTAAAAAAAATGAAAAAAAAAATCTTATGCTGAGTATCGCAATCGATATCAATTGCGCCAGCGACTACATATTTCACTAGAGGGCGCTTAGAAAGTGCACGTGTATGACTGGCAAAGGACAAGATAGGCTAAAGCCCCTTTTTGCCCCTGATTTGTGGTGACTCCAGGTGAATATCTCCTGGTGATTTCCAAATTTTCTCATTTTATGCAAATTTTCATGAATTTTGTAGCACTTTTTTCAGAAAACACAGAGCACAAGTTTGCTTGTCTAACAAATTTATATATTTCATGCAGGTGCATGAAATATATTTGGCAGGGGATGCTCAATCCTCAATGCCATCCGATCACACCTCTGATAATTTATCTGTGTTTGCTCTGCTCCTGATTTGTATTGTTTGAATGGACTTTTGAGCTTGAATACTGCTCGTTATCTCCATATACGAGAGGTTATCAAAAGGTTCGTGGACTAGCGCCATAAAATTAAAACCGCTATATGTACATCAATAATTTTTTAAACATTTAATAAGGCCAAAATAAAAAATACCTTTGTTTCCCCTAACGCGACCGATCCAATTAAAACGCGCCGACTGGAAAGTTTTTCTCACAAGGTTATTCCAATATTTTTTTTATGTTTATCAACTTTTATAAAATAGAATTCCATCAAAAAGTTTTTATCAGAAAGACTGATTTTGTTCTGTGATTTTCAAGCGTTTGTTGGAAACAAAATTGCACCCACATGTCTTGGTCACGGAGGGTTAGTTCATGTTTTAAAAGTAAGACGACGTATCAACCTTATGCCTTTAGCATATAAGAATCCTACACTCTTGAAACACTTTGTAAAAAAAAAATACAATATACAATGACCTATTAAGCGTGTTTCGGTTGTATTTACCATCTGTCTTCAAATTAAGTACGTAGAGAGCATGCTTAGGCCCGTAGGCCCTCCTCATGATACCCCTCATGAGCAGACAAGGGACCCACCTTGTGAACACACCAATCAATTTCACTGCATTTTATTTAATTTGAGTTTTGATCTTATAAACAGTTTATCAATATTTCAATGTTTAATACATGTATATGGGACCATAAGAGTTGTAAATGTCTAAATATTTCCTGATGAATAGAATTCAAACGTCCTTTCTTCATGCCTTTTATTCATGGGTTAAACTTCATGACTTTGACATTGTGTATGGCATTTTATCATTTTTAGATATGGGTTATCTCAATTAAATATGGTCAACATACTTTTTCAAATAGATTTGAAAGCTTCCTGAGACGTCCGTGTATTTTTCTTTAATAAGGCCATTGAATTCAAGATTGGTTGTTTCTTTGATTTAAATTCCTTTGATAATTATTGGGACAACAACATTTATTTAAACATTTGTCTGGTGAAGGGCTCCAAATTTAGATTTGTCTGCGGCATTTTAGCCCATTGAGCAGTGAGGGATCTTTTTTGTGCTAGTATCTACTGCGACACTGGACCTAAGTTTTTATGGTCTCTTTCGAAGAACCGGTCTCAACGTCCCGCACTGGGATTTGAACCTGCAACTTAGAAAATAGCTCCTTACTCCTATACTCAAAAACGAAATGCTCTAGAACCACTGCACAGTTCGAAGCCCTTGAAAAAGTACATTGCATATGTAAGCACTGGAGGCTGATAGTAAGTATGAAAAAATACTCTTTGCATACCCAATAATCCTTTAAACAGATGTATTCAATTTCTACAAATTTACTCTGGTATGAGATATTTCACAAGTTCGATTAAATAATAGTTATGAATTAATATACCTTAAATGTTAGTCTAAAAGGCATCTGTATGGTATATTCTAGCTGTAAACAAATGGCTTTCTTTTGTACTTAACTTATTTATAAGGGTATCATTCCATTTAATATTAAGAATGTATTTTCAAAGCTGCTGTCAAAAAAAAAAATTATTTGCCTACCTACCTACCCAACTTGAGATTTTTGGGTCGAGTTAGGGGAAACAAAGATATTTTTAATGATGGCCTAAGCATCATCTTTTCTATCTGTAAAATAAACTATGAATCATAAATCTTATTTTTTAGTGAATCGTAAATGTTTTTGTAAGTAATGGTATGTCCAGGCGGCGCACCCTCGAACATCACGTATTTTCTACCTGAGTGTAACTGAGAAAAACTCTTTCTAATATGAGCATTTGTCATCTGAAAATCCCATTTTTTGTAGACTGAAACATACATCAATATTGGAACTGACTGTTGTCAGAGCTCCATAAGTCCAATCCAGCTTTTTCCAACATGCCTTCATAAGAAAAAACACCGCATATTAAATTTACAAGTTTATTATTGAATATTTTTGAAAAAAAAATCTTTTTATTCCACCCCCAA